CTAGTTCACACGCTTCAAAAGGACGGTTAGCACTAGTTCACACGCTTCAAAAGGACGGTTAGCACTAGTTCACACGCTTCAAAGGGACGGTTGGTTACCACTATTTAGTTCATTAGTTCCTTTTGAAGCGTGTGAATTAGTGATAACCGAAAGGAAAGGAAAGGAAAGGAAAGGGAATTAAAGAAACTACAAGGGTGGAGCAGAAGGACGGTTTGAGATGGCGCGCACCTAGTATGTATTCTATTAAGTATTTTACTTGTATTTATTGATATGTAATATCATATATTAATATAAAAACAGAAAGAAAATGTAGGTCAAATATCATTCGATTCCCATAAAGAAAAAATGGAAAAGAATGGTAGTATATCAGTAAAAGGTACTACTTTATTTGTATTAGCTTATTCATTACATACTAAAAGTCATACGTTTATCAACTTTAATTTTTAAGTTGACTTTCTTAAAAAAGAAAAAAGAAAAAAAGAAAATAAAGAAAAAGAAAAAAGAAAAAAAGAAAATAAAGAAAAAGAAAAAAGAAAAAAGAAAAAAAAAAGTTGACTTTCTTTATCTGTCTGTCCTTGTGGAAGATTACGCCTCTTGTTGACGCCATGAATAACAATCACATATTCTCAAAGATTCCTTTGATGTAGCAGTAAGATAAGCAATCGTACTCTGTACTCGTACAGCTTGATACACATTGATCTACATCTCGTACCCTCATCGCCTTTTTCAAGTAAGAATCTAACAAACAAATGAGAAAAAGTGTAAGAAATACAATCCCTTGTTCTTCGTGGTGAGCAGTGTAAGAACAAAATTTCTTGCCTCGCATAAAATATATTTTAAGATAGGAGTCTATATTTATATATCTTCAAAGAAGGGAAGATTGGTGTTGATAAATCCGGGGGGGTTGGGTACTCCCGTATATGGACTATACGAGGATGATTCGCTGAACAGGGTATGGTTTTTGGAGCTTCTTATCATAAACAGGGTATGCAATTTCACTCAAGTTCCAAGTTCTTCCCGAGTTTCCTGTCATATTCAGGGGTTCTACTTTCGTATTGACCGAAACTGGTTATCATGGTCGTAAAAAAACGATACGCGAGATGACATGATAATTGAAACAGGAACTCAGTGCAATAAAT